CTAGAAGACCTAAATCTTCATCATCAAAATGTACCTCCATCGACACTAGGTCGGCAACGATCTCCTTGAAGACCGATATGTGGTTCAACACAGAACCACTCTCCTGTAACTTGTGCGAGAACAACTTCATCTTGATATGCATCTTACTGGTTAGATCTTTAGATATGCAGATCGATTCCAGTTTGAGCCAAAGTTCTGCAACAGTCTTTTCCTACAACACTTCTTGCAAAATATCATTAGATAGATGAAGTTGGATCAGCGACAGAGTCTTACGATCTTTTCGCTTCTCCTCAGCGGTCTATTCAGTCGTTTTCTTCTTCCCGAAGCTTTCCAGCGCCTCATCAAGATCCGAAGTTTGCGCTAGAACCATCCGCATCTTAACTTGCCACAGCGGGAATCTCGTCTTGTAGTCTAGCAGCGGTAGATCATACTTCATCGACGCCATCGTGAAACCCTAATGTGGAAACAATGCTCTGATACCACTTGTTAGGAAACGATAGGCAAACAAACGATAAAGAACAATAGATCAATCACAGAAGACACGAGATTTAACGTAGAAAACCCTCCCAAAACAGGAGAGAAAAAATCACAGGCGCCAGCCAGCAAAATATCTTCACTATTTCGGCGGCGTCAACTTTCGCCTTCTTCGTTGCCCTTGTGCGGGCAGACGGTGGAGCTTGGTGGGACCTTGACTTGGAAGGTGCCGGACGAGGAGCTTGAGGAGGAGTTGACGCAGGAGCCTGAGGTGGAGACGGTGCTGGAGCCTGAGGAGGAGATGGCGGAGCCAGAGGAGATGGTGCATGAGACGCCGCTTGTCGCCTAGGGAGGATGATGTACCGCTTGCGCCATAGTATAATGGCGTGGCTTGTGTCTCGTAGATGCGTCTCACCGTCTCCTCCAGGGTAGTCCAACTCGAGGTCCTTGTACGCGGCTTCCACCAACTCAACTTCGACCTTCGAGTATCCTGCTGGAATCGGCCTGCAGTGGTAAGTCCCTGAAGGGTCCGTTGGGATGGCCATTCCCGACGCCACCTTCACGTGGTGAGAGGTTATCTATTAGTAATCAACATAAGCAGCAACTTGCGGAATGGACAAGTCAAAAATCATAAAATTACGAGCATACCTTGATTGATAAGTTCTTGAAGGGAATATGCAGCTCACATGGTGTCCGCTGAGTGATCTCATCAACGGGGCAGGTGGTTTCGTCCTGAGTTTGCATGGCGTCCATGCTCTATGATCCTACCTGTCCCGTTGAGGCACAGCTGCTACGATTGCCTGATGGGCTGACCATTGCAGGAGGAATGTACAGCTGGGGATCTTGGGACCGATGTGCGGACATGCGTTTATCCACCTTCCTTGCCACCTCCTCTTTCATGCTGAGCTCATAGCTCGATACCCTGTACTTAAGATCTGCAATCTTCGCCTCGGTATCTCTCTTGCTCCTCATCCGACTCCTGTACGTGTGGATGTCCTCCTTGAATCCAATCTTCCAAGGAATCACCCCTTTCCCTCGTGTTCGTCCTGGATGCTCGGGAGTCTGTAGGGCAAGTGACAGCTCGTCCTTCTCTCTGTCGGGTCGGAACGTGCCCTGAGAAGAGGCTTCCACTGCGTCCGTTAGTCGACTGGCAGCCTCGCGTATCTGATCGCTGAAGACCAGGGAGCCATCAACTGGGTTAAGCGTTCCACCATGAGCATAGTACCAGAACTTCGATCGATCCGACCATTTAGCGGTGGCCGGTTCGATACCCCTCTCAAGCAAGCTTGCCTCCATCTCCTCCCACTTCGGCATCGCGACGCTATAGCCGCCTGACCCCAAGTGGTGATGGTACTTCTTCTTGGCGGCATTTTCTTTGTTTCTTTCCATCATCGCCTGCCCTTGTTGCCCTGTCTTGTAAGCAACGAACTCGTCCCAGTGATCCCTTAGCTTCGGGAATATGTTGAAGTTCGTTGTCTGCCCCTTCAGGATGTATTTCTGGTAGAGATCTCCCTCGAAGCTCTGAAACTGTTCTGCCATTTTCTTTAGAGTCCAACCTTATGTGATGGCATAAGGTTGTAGAATTGAGTCCAAGATCTGCTTATTAATTCATTTCATCTGTGCTCATTGTTTTCGAGAAAGAATTATGCTCTTATTATAAAAGAAGGGATTGCTCCTGTAGATTTCTTAAGACTATATTATCTAGTACTTCTGTTGTTAAATCCAACTACAATGTACATGAAAACGCACATGGAAGTTAGAGAATCTATTTAATTCGTACGAACAATAAACATTTGACTATAGTGGTCTGCCGAACCCAATTCCGTTCTACCTATATATGAGCAGCCATTAATTGTTTTGCTTAGTTTCAGCCTAAGTGGATTTTTGTTGCCCCATAGTCCAATTATTCTTGATCAGCGATGATCATCACCATCTCTGGTTCTGTATCCTGGTTTCCATTTGCGATGATTTCGGCTAACTGTCGTTACAATTGTTGTTTATTTTTGTTCACTGCATTGCAGAGTGGAGGAAGAAACTGGTCATAGTATATTAATTTGGGCGGGAATCATGGCTGGTCGATTGAGGGAAGATTAGTTTTGTTTTACTAGCAGTAGTTTCCTGTACTGTATCGAGTAAATGTCCTGTTTTACTAATCTTCCTAGACAATCCTTCTTTCGGCATACTTTCTTCAATTTGACAAATAATACTATGCATGTATCCTTTCTTTAGTTCTCTCTCGGAAACTTGTTGTTTCAGGAAGCTATACTAGCTGTAGCAAATAGCTGTCATACTAAAGCTGAGTTCGGCATATGGGGTTGGGAACTAATCCCACCCGTACGCAAAACGGAGTCTAATTAGGTATTAGCTAATATTTTTGAAAAATAAATTAATATGATTTTTAAAGCAACTTTCATATAGAAAACTTTTATAAAAAATACAACGTTTACGCGTGGAAAAAGAGAAAGATGAGTTGGGAAAGAAGGGGGAAGAACACAACCTAAGTAGTTGGTTCACTTCGCTATACACTGTCATATTGGTTCTGGTTCAGTCAGTAAGTGCCCATAATCTATGTTATGACACTCTGCATTCTCTCTTGAAAACGAACATGCTTTTCTATTTATTTTGATGATGCCATCCCAGAACAATTATTCTTGTAATGGAGAGGATGATTGGGAGATTCAAGATGCCTTATTGGATATGGTTGGCACACATGCATTTCATCAAGTTTTTGTACCTGGAGAACATTTGGCAGATTTTGTACATACTTTTATCCAATCGTGATATAAGCAAACGCTAGCTAGCATGGGTTCTCTATAGTCTGGTCTGTAGACTTCAGCCCTATTTATTTGATTACTCATCATTCGTTCTTGTTCTAGACATTATAACCTTGTATGAAATACTATAGTATTTGCATGTGTTGATGCATGGATGTCATTGATACTTCTTCGACTTTGATGATATATAGTGTTGTTACATCATAAAGCTCATCATGAGCTCGTGATCTCGTGATCTCATGATCTCAGTATGTTTTTTTTTTTTGAATCGATCTCAGTATGTTTTTAGATCAATTTCTTTTATGATCTTGTAAAAAGTACATCATTTTCATATGACTGTATTTTCTATATTCTTGTTGAATATTTTTATTTTTATTTTTATTCTAGATTTTCTGCTGTTTTTTTTCAATTTATCTAGATTTTCCCTTTTTATTTTTTCTGCGATTTTTCTTATTTTTCGAGATTTTATGTGATTTTTATTTTTTTGTTTTTTGGCTACATGGAAAATTTCCCATAGCATGTTTTCCAAAATTTTTCCCAAGGTCTTTTTCCCTTGGCTCCCAAATGAGCTCTCACTCGATTAACCTTGGACCACGCACCCTTCAAATTCAAGCTTCCACTAAAATTCCCCCATCACAAACTTACCTCCTTACTGGTAGCATCTTTCGGTCTAAGTACAGGAATTTGTGTGTGGTTTTGGTTTGCTGTTATGGTGGCGTAGTGGGTTGTTCTGTGCATCTATTTTGGTTAATTGAAAGCATTTTGTTCAACTAACACCATGTGATGCGATGCACCTGTTGGTATAGCCTGCGAGGAAAAAATTCCTGATAATGAGACCATGATTTCCTGATACAAGCATACATGTTATGCATGCTAAAATTAAACCCTTTATCTTGGCACTACCTACGTACTCCCTCCATAAAAAAAAAGTGAATCTAAAACTAGATGTGATATATTTTAATACAACGAATCAAGGCACATTCAATACTAGGTTGGTTTTTATGGGACAGGGAGTATATTTGACTTTTTGTATTATCCACGGATCTTCTCAAGAGTAAATCTTAATCTTCTCTCTTGAAAAGAAAGGCTTATCTCTGTCCTAGGTTTGTCCAAGTTTTGGTCCGGATATCACCAATTTAACTCTTTTGAGTCAATCTCCAAAGACATAGGTCAAACCCAATTTAAAGTTCAAAATCTTTTCCAAATGCCCTCGCAAAATTCCCTCAAATTCAAATTTAAGCTCAATTTCATAGATCAAATTAAAATCCAAATTCTCTTACTTTAATTCTTCAAGATTTGCATGTGTGCGCTTGTTGGAGTGAGTGTGTGCGCTATTATTTTTCTAGAAAAAAGCTTTTTGTAAGTTCAAATATTCCTCAATTAAAGATCTTTGTAAGTGCCCAAGTATTGAAGATCTTTCCTCAATTCAATTTCCCATGATGATGATCGAGAGAGCCGCACCGACGCTTCAGCGAGCGTACTCACGCGGGATCATCAGACGTACGCACGCGGACGTCGCACGGGTATCGCACGACCGACAATCGGAAATATCCTTATTTAGGTTACGTTATTACGAGTTCGCTAATTCGTGCGAGTATTTCATAATTGCAATTGGCCAATCCGTGTACATAAATATATATAGTGTTTAGGTGAATTTTTTATCATGATCGATTAGAATGTTTAAGTGAAACTTTTCAACAGAATGTTTAATTTTAAAATTGAAAATTTTGAAAACTTTCAACTCAAATTATGAAAACTTTCCAACAGTAATTGAAACTTTCAACTCAGAATTTAAAAAGTTACCACTCAGTATTTGAAAACTTCAGTCTCACACAGTAGCAGGCAAATTAGCGTACAGCAAAATGAATCAACACTAGCACTTGAGTCCCTAGAAAGACTTATACGAATTGATAATTGCAGCGTCATCCTGCTTCCAGCTACCAAACTTTGTGGATTCACATCTTCACCATCGCCGTTATGAAAATGGCGCTCAGAACAGAAGCTATTGCAATCCGTTTCACGACTAGCTTTATTCTGTCAGTAATGGACACACAAAGGCAGGAGATGAGTTTAGAAAAAAAAAATGTACAGCACGTTACATACATATATTATACTATTTTAGTCAGCAAAAGAAAGAAGGCATTATTAACACGAGATTACAATCAGTAGTGCAAATTTACTTACCCGTAACCATTAACTAGGTGCTTAAGTTCACGGTATGGCGGAAGCTGCCTGAGTATCCTTTCGTCCTCCAGGTTGGAGTTCTCACCACTATATTCCAGCTGCGATAGCAGATGGAACAGCTCGATTTTCTTCTCCTCGACTTGTGCCCTAAGGCTAGCAGGTTCTTTGTTGCTGATACCAGACTCCCCGTTCACAGTAGGTTCTGCGTGAGGAAAATGCCGGTCATACCAGGTCTTGACTTGTGGCCTAATGCTCGCAGGGATACGAGACAGCTCCAGCTCCACATCCACGATATGTTTTGATTGAGGCAAATGATCATGCTGGCCATACAAGGAGTTGTCAGCATGAAGGTAGAAAAGATATATATGAGAAAAATAAACTAAACATATTCGATCAAAGTTGTCAGCATGAAGGTAGAAAGCTTGAATGCTTGGTTCAAATTTGTTAGCTAAATTTCTAATGATCAACGAGTACATGAGGCAATTTGTGCACAAGGTTAGAGAAGGAAACATAGAGTGCACCTTCTCTTTATTACCAAATTTGTTAGCTAAATTTTCTTCTAATGACCAACATGAATAGCTTAGGCAGCTTTGCACAAGGTCAGAGGGGGGGAGTGCGTGGAATCATTTCAGTATTAACATTTAAGCAGGTAATATTGAAATCGATGTCCTAAAAAGCTGTATGCGGGTAGAATAAGGAGGATTGTCTCCTCAATGTCCTTATAGTTTGGAACTAAAACCTAAAACTAAAGGCGGCGGAGAATGAAGAAACATACCCTACTTCAACATTTAAAGAAGAGCCTTGCAGGTTAATGACAAGATCGGCTTAGAAAAAGGGAACAGCTCTAGAGATAATGAAGCTCGAAGTGCTTTCCGATCAATCAGTAGCAATTAATACCAGTTAAATCATAACGGACGGGGCCTAGATGAGTTTATAGTACTAAGTTTTCACTACTGTCACAGGGAGGTGTTGTGAGGTAGAGTGTTGTTTACTATTGTCATTCATCTCATGTGTTGTTACTAGAGGGGCTTTTAGCAAGCTAGCTCAGATGATTTAGCTTCAATTAATATAATTCTGCTTTCTACAATTTAATCCATGTTACTTGTTACTAAGCTCCTAATCTGGTCACATTTTTTTTCCTTGGTAGTGATGAAGTCCTCATTGGGTGGAGATGGAATGACAGGAACATCAACTTTAAAAGAAATAGATTTGTGACCATGTGTTGTCAATAGAGCAATGTTATATGCAAGTTTGTGTGTAAACTGTAGTTAGTATATGATGCCAACTGCTATAGATTTAGTCCAGTTGACGTCAACTACAGATTTAGTCGAGTTGTTGCCCATGGAGTACCAAAGGTTGTGTTGTTAAATTGGAGGTCATTAAGTCAAATGTTTGCAATGGCAAGCACTAATTACTTATTCTGCTTGTTTTAAAAGTTTGAGAAGTTTTTCTTGTGACTATATTGGAATGGTTTACTGGAATAATTACTAACTGAAATATTTTGGTCCTATTTTATTTTTTTCACGCTTATAAGTTAGTTTTTAGAAATATTTTTATTTTCTTTAAAGTTTTTCAAATTTTCTGTGGGTTGTAATTTTTGACCTTGTCATACTATTTAAATTCGATTTTTTTGTGTATATTAATTCAAATTTTGGGTAACATTACTGCTACAATCCCTGAATGTTATTTAAGTTATGAACTTTACATGAGACATTTCTATGTGATCCAAACAGTAACGATTCCTACACCCACAGTGGAGATGGATTGGGAGGGGATTAACCCAATCCCCCCACCTGGGTGTATCTCCACAGGGAAAATTCACAATCCCCCACCAGGGTGTATCTCCCCAGGGAAAATTCACAATCAGCAGCAATTAAAATACCAGTTAAATCTTAACGGACGGTGCCAATCGTGTCATTAGGTCTTAAAATTGTTCAGTTATATTTTTATTTATTCCAAATCGATAGATACCAAACAGGATAGCTCGTCATCTATTGCCGAGAGAGGACGACGGTAAAAGGGAAATCAGGGACAAACGAGCACATACCTTTTTATTGTTTGGAGCAGCTCCGGCGGAGCTGAATGAGCGGAGGAGCGGCATCCGGCCGCCGGCGCCGGGGATAAGCCTCGGCAACAACCGCCGTTGTTCCTCTCTAACCGCCGGCGACGGCGGTACGAAAGCCGTCGCCTGTTGAAGGGCGCGACCGCTGACCTTCCTCGCCGCAAATCGAAGCGCCGCCGCCATGGACGATTCCGCTGCAAGATCCCTGGGCGGTCGGTTCCTAAGCTCCTATATTTACTCCAATTCCTCGATCCCTCCTCAGATCTGAATTTGGGGCCGCAAGACACCAGGTTTGCTATATATGTACGCACACTATCAGATACAAGTCGGATACAAGGAGCCGAGACCGACGCCGTGTCGTGACCAACCCGCATTCGACTTACTACATATCCAGTCCAGATACAAGTCGGAACTCGGTAAGTAATTACTACTATTTCGTGAACAACTTATCTTGTTATCTTAATACTAAATATCAATCTTATCTTATCTCCATCTATCTTCTCTGTACATGCCAATGCGTTGCAACGGAAAAATCTACCACGCCTTGAGAATCTCAAATCGGTAAGAATCAAGTCTAATTTGATATATTACCAAATTAATCGATAGAATCGAGTCTAATTTGATGAATTAGCATAGGATTTAGAATTCAGCCTTAGATTTATTTTTCGAGCCTACTTAGAAATTTATCCAACGGAGTTTAATTTAAAAAATATGAACCATATTTGATAAATATTTTAGTCAAACCAGGGAATTACATTGCAATGTGACGGAAAAAAAATCATATTATATAGGTACACACAGGATGATGTGACGAACAATAACAACTAATTTCAACACTGGTGAGAAAAATATTGACAAATTAAAACAACAATCTCTGAATTAAACATCGAGTTTAAAAGGAAAAAGTTCACAATAAAATGATATTGCACTTTGATAACATTTATTATAATATACTCTACAAGTACAGAAAAGGTAAAGGAAATCAAAATTGGCTCAAAATAATGCCAAAGAAAATTCTGTAAATGACTAAATGAATTAAATCAACAGGAATTAAATAAAATCTTATTTCAGCCCATTACTTCCGTAACTGGCCCAAAATATCGGCCTGACCCATTCAGCACGAGCGCGCAGCAAGCGGTGCGCGACCCATCTACCGGCGATAGCTCGATGCAAGGCGAACTGAGTGCGGCCTAGTTATCTTCCGCGGCCCAAAGACTGCGTGGCCCAACAGCAGTGGTGGCTAGACGCGGGGCCGATCTGAGCCGTCTGATCTGATGGACGGCTCAGATCGGTCCCGCGTCGATGAAATCATCGGCCGGAGGGGGGATGGGTCCGAAAACCTTAACCCTAATCCCCTTTCTCACCTACTCTCCCCGATGCAAACTCTGGCGACGCGAGAGAGTGGATGGCGGTGATGGTGGTGACGACGGTCCGTTGAGGTGGAGTACGCACGCGGCAGCGAGCGGCTATGGCTTCACAGGCTGGGAGGCGCTCCCGAGGGCAGCGCCATGCGAAGCCACGGCGTCGGGGGTCCGACGAAGCGGGTGCGCAAGTGGCGACGGGCTCCGAGAGCGGCCGGGCTTCGTCGATGGAGTGTGGGGGTGGGGCGCCAAGCCAACGCGAACGCATGGGACAGAGGAGGAACTCCTAGATCTGCGGGCTCTAGGAGCTTGACGCGACCACGAGGAGGTGAAGTGTGCGGCGGTGCTGCTTCTCGGCGAGACCCACACAGTGGTGGGGTTTGCCGGTAGAATTAGGGCTCCAAATCTACTAAGAATCCAAACTCGAGCTTAATTTTCTTACTTTGATTTGGTTTTGGATTTGATTCGGATTTCGGGGCTTATGATTCTTTTCAATTTGGGGATTTCGGGAAAATTGAAACCGACTGATCTCATTCTTCCCTTCCCATAATTTATTAATTCTACTGACATAAAACATGAAATTTAAAATAAGTCTAAACATAGCAGTGCATTATGAACCCTAATTCAATATTATTAACTTAATTTGAACATGAACAGGAGCTAATCTTTACTAAGCAGTAAAGATAAGAAGCTAAACAGATTAGATTAAACTTATTTGACTCAAAATTGTTCATCTCGAATCAAGATGGGACCGATGGCTTCTAATCATAGGGATGATGTGAATAAGGAATTGAGTAGGTTAAAGTTAAGCTCTGACAGCACAATGTTAGAGTTCTAATTCAAGATCTTATTGTTTTAACCTATAAGCAATCACCTTTCAATTACGAAAATTAATTCTCTGACCTAAGATGAAGCCATTGAAGTCGATGTCTGGTTTAGAAATAATTTCATTTAGAAGCTGAAATAATTTTTTAGCAACTTTATTTGGCTAAGAAGGCTTATAAACAAATTTCTTAACATTATAAGCATTAAAATTGGCGGGATTTAGTTAAATTTGCTTTTGGCCCACGTCTTCCGAAGCCAACCCGTCTTCGCGCGAATGCACTGTGTAGCGGGGACCCATCAATTTGATGGCCCGCAAGTCAAGCAAACAATCGCGGCCCACATACGCGGCGACGACCCGATGCACCTCCGCGCTCCAGTGGCTGCGTAATTAGCAGCGGCGGCGATCTGACGCGGGGCGAATCTGAGCTGTCCAATCTGATGGACTGCTCCGATCATCCCGGCGCCGGATGAAGCGTGACTGGGAGAGAGGGGCAAAACCGTAGCTCCCAAATCCTTCTCTCCTGATCCTCTTTCTCTCTGGCGACGAGCGAGCGGAACAACGGCGAAGGCAACGACGGCGGTCTGGCGAGCTGGTGTACGTGCGGTGACGAATGCCAAGCGGCTCCTACTTCACCGGCTAGGAGGCGCACCCGAGGACGGCACCTAGCCGTGTCACGGCATCGATGATCCGGTGAGGCGGGCGCGCAAACGACGAGGTCCTCGTCGGCGGGGAGGGGGGTGGGTGTGGGGGGAGGGTGCGACACCAAGCCAGCGCTTCCCGTCTCCGGCAAGGGACAATGGCAGGGTGCTCCAGGACAGCGCGTGCACGGGGAACCCGACGCGACTCCGAGGAGGTGAAGGTGCGGCGATGCCGCTTCCCGGAAAGCTCCGGTTAGCTTAGGGGCTTCAAGTCTGGTAAATAACCCGAACCCTTACCATAATTGATTTGGATTTTGACTCTTAGGGTTCTTACCTGAAATTAGGATCTTCGAATTTGGGGGAATTTTGTCGGGAAATTTCAGTCTATTTTATTCCCTCTTCTCGAGTTTGGGGAGTTTCAATCTCGTTTATCTCCTCTTTAATTTTGGGAATTTCAATCTAGTTTATCCCTTTTCTCAATTTGGGGAAGCTATTTGTGGACCCCCGTTTTTATAACAGGAATCAAACGTGTAAACAGTACCATTTCCCTGGATCAAGTAGTTTGGTACACACGAATTCATACCTGAAATACCAAGTGCACATACATGAGTGTCTAGTACGAATTATTACATCATAAGCCCACAGGCATAGTTTTAAATCATCGGACCGAGCGGTCCGGAATACATCCCAAAAATAGAAGTAGATAAGGCAGCGGAGTTAAGGCAGCGGCACGCCATTGCCACAGGCAACGACCGTAACTAAGACCTACTGAGCGCCATCGTCTTCATCACCCTCCTGGTAGTAAGCGTAGGGATCCTCCGAAGCTTCATCTCTGACCTCTAATTAAGTTTGTATATTGCAAGGGTGAGTACCAACCGTACTCAGCAAGCCACCACAGCAACAATGCACATGACAGGGGTATTCAAAGGATGGCTATGGTTCTTTTTGCGCAAAGCAGGTTTTGTAATTCTTTTCATGTCACGCCCGGAATTTCTATCCAAAATTCCAAACGCTTACATGTGTGTGAACCCTCGTCCAGGAATCAGCCGAGGCACACAATAACAAATTGATAATAGAGTACAATTATTACTCTAATTAATAAGCGAATAAAATGTCATTACAGAGGTAGATAGTTCCTCTCAATCAATAAAGATCTAAGCAGCGGAAAGAAAGATAAACGGCGCAGACGGCTCCACTTCACAGGCAGCTTGACCAAGGCTACACCTAATCCTCCACACCTTCAGCATCATTGTAGAACTCTTCCTCTGATGAATGATTGCAAGGTGAGTATATGACATACTCAGCAAGCCACGCAGCAAAAATGCAAGTGCACAGGATAACAAAGGATGGCATAGTAGGGTTTCATTTGCAAAAGCAGCATTTAGCAAATATTTCAGAATTTAATAAAACAGTTAAGTAATAATTAAACAATATTAATCCAACGCTATACAACATACCCTGTTGCATAGGCCCAACCACTCTGAACAACCATCCCGGCCGCACAGTTCTATCTCCAAACCAGGAATATACCATTCCAAACCAGGAGCTAATCAAATTATTACCAATTATAGCATCATTTACTATGGTGAGAAGGGTGAGACTAATCACGAAAGACATTGTTAGACCCGCCCATAACCGCGGGCACGGCTATTCGAATAGTTTTACTCTGATCAGAGGTGTACCACTGTACCCACAAGACACAACCCCACATCATGTCACCATGTGCCTCAATACCACCACGGTACCTCGGAAAGGAGTTGTGACAATACCCCTTGCATAACACAATCCACCGCAGCGCACCTTCCTGGATCATAATCACCCCCTTATAAACAAGGCATGGACTCCCCAGCGACCCCCGTGGGCTTATCACCGCCACTTCTCAGTCTGGTGCCCTGCAATGAACCATGCTATACAAAAGATAAAGCCGTTGCCCACGCTGGCTTGTGGTTGGCACGGTTAATGTTTCACAACCGAAACTCGTGAACCGGTCCTTAATTGTCATGAGCACGACCATCAAAACCATGTGCTCACAACCCACCATTATCAAGTTTTAGTTGGCAAATAATTAATTAACCAATCACGATTGACCATCGTGAACTATCATTAAGCCATCATTAAATAATAGTGAGTCATAAATTATCCCAATAGTGAGCTAATGTTTCTAAGCAGGGCTAAGCAATTATATCTAATATCTAGTTGAACCAATATATATAAAGCTCAACTAGTCCAATTATATTAACCCAAGGTATCAAGGAATAAAGTAATCAAGAACAAAAGGGCTATAACAAAGAATAGGTTAATTCCACCCAATGACATTCGAAAATAAATGCAATAGTTGAATAGAAACAATAGCTTTAAATAGGATCAACATGTTCAAAGGGTTGTTTGGGATCTGTGTGACTTGCCTTGCTGGCCTTAGAACTCTTCAAACTCTTCTCCGGCGAAAACGGACTCTCCGGAAACGACGGAATCTAAGCAGAAAAGAGCAAAATCACCAAAACAGCACATAAACAAGCATGAACAGTACATGTGGATAT